AAATGTTATATACTGTAGATCTCTGAAGTGTTTGAAGGCCATTTATTTATCTATCTGTTTGACCTTAAAAACATACCTAATGTGGTCACAGTTTGATTGTTGGATGACTAACTACTAACTTGTACTTTTAATTATCCTAAATATTTTGTGATAATGACTTTCAAGGACTAGAAATTTGCATTACATTTCTAAATGAGCTGCATAGGTACAATCCCTTAAACAAGAGTAGAAAAACATATACAGAATAACAAAAGTAACCCCAAATTTGTATCAATATAAAAAAATACCTTAAACAAGAGTAAAAAAAATATACAGAATAACAACCTTAAATTTCTATCAATATAAAAAATACATACCAATGTAAAATATTTACGACTAGTCATTCCTTTTTAAGTTTAAAAGTAGATTCAATAATCCACCCTCTTATCCTATCATTCCTATACCCCCTTTTGCTTTTCAGAATGAGATCCCTGAATCTAATCTCCTTTGCTTAGTTTACTCCCTGACCAATAGCAACTTGCAATCAATCCCACTAAAAGATGATAAACATCTGTAATCCACAGAATGACCAAAACCCACCCACTTTACCTCTTGGGAATGTGGGTGTTGTGTTCTTAAAATTACTTCTTGCTGTCTGGGGGCAATGGCATCTTTAGGGGACCCTGAAAAAAAATTGAGATAATGATCATGTCCTGGGGGAGATAGCTGTAGTCCAGTCTCTGTGTGATGGGAAAGTGCAGGGCTTATCTGAAGTCCTGGCTGGAGTAGTATATAAGACTAGACCATTTTAGCTAACCATTTTGAAGTTTTCCTGAGCAGTGTTTAGTCCAAAGCTGATCCTTGGGTGGTGTTTATCAGATTAGTGGTATTACCACCGTCTAGGTGGAATAATTATTGTGGGGCCACATCATCCTTTTGGAGACATCAAAGGTTTGTTAGGAATGGTCACAGTTCACTGCAGAAACCTTAAACTTTTAAATGTCTTATGTAGCAGATCTCAGAGAGGTTAAAGAACCACAATTTGTTAAGTTCATTCAGGGTACACAAACTTAATTCCTAGTTACCTGCTTCAAACTCGAGCCCGAAATCAAGTGCGGAAATAGATGGAGCTATTTCTAAAGTCAGTTAGTACTCTATATGATCATTAATATCACGACAGAAAGTTTAAATATATATAATAATCTTATACATTTTGAGATAGTTATTATTATTTAGGAAAGGTTTAAAGAGTCAAAATAAATCCAAAGGATAATGAGATTAATGGCAATAGAATAGTCCCTTTATTTTGTTTTTTCTCTGTCCCATACCGGTGACTCTTCTGACATGAGGCAGAGATTTTGGATTTTTTAAAACAAATTACTTGGATTTAGAGAAGGAAAAAAAGACATACTGTACCTCTAAAGCCAGATTTAATTTTTTAATTAAATTAAGACTACAAAAAGACCATTTGCCTAATTTGTCTGTAGATAACAGTAGAAACAAACATTTGAGAAGATTTATGAAATTTTATCCTGTTGGAAGTGTGCTATACTATTACACCAATTTACCCTTTTTCTTGGGACATTTCCTCTTGATGATTCATCTTTCTTTCGATGTCTCATTTGTCCAATAGTCTTCAGATTTCTTAGTTGGATACTTTTATTCTTCTAGAAAGACAAAGGCAAAACCCTGCCCCAACACTAACTTTGGGGAGTTTCCCTTTTTGCCAAGTAATATCTAATCAAATGAAAGGCATTTGTGAGGCTGATGCTTGCCACATTTCTTACATGCCTTAGAAGTTAGTGTAAATTGAATGGCCATGCTGTTTGATCAACTATTGCCTCTCCTAGTCAAGAGGTCTCTCTTGTTTGAATCTAATCTTTATCAATCTTGTTGGTGCCCATACCTTTTTTTCTTCCTTTGAAACAAAGGCAAAACCTCTTCTCCAACATAACACATATCCTGGTTTCCATTTTGAGGTCAATACATCTTTAAAGTATACTGGTTGATTTAATTCGGCAGCAGTTTTTAAATACTATCTAATGTTTCTCTGCAGCTGTCATTCCTTTATCAATAGAATTTAAAATTTTAAAGTTAAGCTTCCCATCTGGTTTGCGCGGTGGAGGCAGCTCTTTTGGACGCCGGGTCTCTTGTTTCAATCGGGTAGACGCTCTACTGCAAAGATGATCAACGTACCCCAAACCCGAAGGACTTTCTGTAAGAAATGTGGCAAGCATCAGCCTCACAAAGTGCCCAGTATAAGAAGGGCAAGGATTCCCTGTACACCCAAGGGAAGCAGCACTGTGATCGGAAGCAGAGTGGTTACGGTGGGCAGACAAAGCCAATTTTCCGGAAGAAGGCCAAAACCACAAAGAAGATCGTGCTCAGGCTTGAGTGTGTGGAGCCCAACTGCAGGTCCAAGAGGATGCTGGCCATTAAGAGATGCAAGCATTTTGAACTGGGAGGAGCCAAGAAGAGAAAGGGCCAAGTGATCCAGTTCTAAAACTTGTGTTTTCTGAGAGGAAAATGCCGAAGCAATAGGAAAATTACCTGTTAGAAAATAAAGTTATTGTTATTGATAAAAAATTTAAAGTTAATAAAGCATTGTGTAATCTATCTCTTGGGAGTCTTTATTACCCCTTTCTGTTTATTAAGCATATCTTTTAAAGTACAATTAGATCTTTCGCGTGTCCTGAAGGATTGTGTGGTATCCTGTAATATGCTTTATCTTATAATATATAAAAAATACGGTTTCACTACTAGAAATATAAGCTGGAGCGTTGTCCATCCTAATTTGTACATAATGACCTTAACTGGTGGTCCTTCTTGTATGGTAACTGGATAAATGAGGGTTGGTTTTCTAATAACCTTGGGCTCTTCCTCTTCAGTTTCTGGTGCAGTAGGTTCTGGTCTAAACTCTGTCTCTGTGTGAGTGCTTTTCTTAGTTTCCTTAATAGGTTTTCTGAGGCTTGATCTTATCAGTCAATTTTTTATATTTGGCACAAATATCACCCCCCCACACACACTTTTTTTAGGTTTATCAAGACAGGGTTTCTCTGTAGCTTTGGTGTCTGTCCTGGAACTAGCTTTTGTAGACCAGGCTGGCCTGGAACTCCCAGAGATCCGCCTGCCTCTGCCTCCGAGTGCTGGGATTAAAGGCATGTGTCACCACTGCCCGGCATCAGTCAATTTTTTATATTTGGAACAAATATCAAACACCCCCCCCCACACACACACACTTTTTTTAGGTTTTTCAAGATAGAGTTTCTCTGTATAACAGCCCTGGCTGTCCTGGAGCTGACTCTGTAGACCAGGCTGGCCTCCAACTCAGAGATCTGTCTGTTTCTGCCTCCTGAGTGCTGGGATTAAAGGCATGTACCACCTGTCTCTAGGCTTTGTTTCTTCATAAGGAGTTACATGCCCAGTTGGTTGTACAGTTTGCCTGATCTAAATCTCCTCTATGCCAAATTAGTGTTCAGGATCAGACTGAGATGGTTTTATTTTTTCTTACAATGCATTTAATTAAAATCCCAAGAAAGCATCACGGTCTTTTTCACACTTCTCCGGATCTAGTAAGTTTTTTGAATTTTCTCAAGTAGAAAAACAAACAAACAAACAAACAAACAAAAAACAAGGAAACTCTGTCTTCCTCCCTGAGGAATCTGGAGGGCCTCAGACGCCTTACACACTTCAGGTCAAAGGTCAGGTGCTTGCCAGACTTTAAGCCTTTACACTACCCCGTCACCTTTTCCTGCTGGGGATGTCACCCAAGGTCTCCTGACCACTTTGCAAGTGCTCTACCACTTAGCCACAACTCCCGCCCTCCAAGAGGGTTCCAGTGGTCAGGGCCTCAGACCTGCTCTTCTGCAAAGGGGTTGTCAAAGGAGAAGGGCTTGTCCAAGGTCAACATAGGTGGCAGAAGCAGGACCTATCTAGGTCCTCTTTTAACCAGACTGGCAGAAATGAAGATACTCTAAAGAGACACTTGTTTTTGTCATTTTGTTTTTGTTTTATTGTTGTTGTTTTGTTTTTTGAGACAGGGTTTCTCTGTAGTTTTTGGTGCCTGTCCTGGAACTAGGTCTTGTAGTCCAGGCTGACCTCAAACTCACAGAGATAGCCTGCCTCTGCCTCCCAAGTACTGGGATTAAAGGTGTGTGCCACCACCATGGGGCTTTAAAGAGACACTTGTGACTGCCAATCAGACTGTTGAAAAACCGGACCCCAAAGAAATGGAGACTTCCACAGAAATCTCATCCTGGGAGAAGGAAAATGCACCAGCAAGAGATGGCTTTGTCTTTTAGAAAGGGATTTTTTCTTTCTTTTTTAGTTATTATTTTTTTGAGTTAATGTCTTAAGTGTATATAGACCTGGCTAGCTTAGAACTCACTATGTAGACCAGGCTGGATGTGAACTGGCAATGATCCACCTACCTCTTTTTCCCGGAAAGAGTTTTAAAACAATGTTGGGTCAGTGGTGGGCACACCTTGACCAGGACTGCTTAGGTATGCACATCCTTAGCTCTCTAGTTTTTGATCTTAGTTTAGGATTCCGAAGGCAGACTTGGCTTCGCTGGACCTCTTTGTCCCTCTTCCCACATTGAAGAAAATTTCCTTTTTCTGCTTTTCACTTTTATTTTGGTTCTTTCAATTGGTTTGTTGAGGACGGACTTGACTTGGGAAGTAAGTTGTGATCTCGCCAAACTCAATGGCACTCTCATTCTCAATGTGGGCCCACACTGCTCCATGGGATTTTCCTGCCCACGCTGTTCTCAGGCATGACCCTGCCGGTCAGAAGTGCTGGGTGGTCAGGAGTCAGGCAGCCCTCCGAGGCCACCGCTTGGTCATTCCAGTGCACTGCAGTAGCATAGACTGACTGTCCCCGGGGAGAAGTCACCTCCCGGCTCCGTCTAGACTGGCCTAAGGCCCCGCCTCCTTCCCGCCAGGCGCTCCTCCGCCCCCGCCACGCCTCTGGCCCCGCCCTAACCCTAGGCCCGCCCCCACCCAGGCCCCGCCTTGCCTCCCAGCCCCCGCGTCCCTCCCACTGAACTGCGGGACTGAGCCAAGCGGGCCAGGCTTTGCTGGCGACGCTGCCCGCCGCCAGGCTGGCAAGGGCCGCGGGCGCCGCGCTCGGGGCTCCAGAAGCCGCCGATGGGAAGCGGCGCTCAAAAGGGCGAGAGACGACGCCGCGGCCACCGATAACGCCGCGGCCACCATGGGGAACAAGCAGACCATCTTCACTGAAGAGCAGCTGGACAACTACCAGGTGAGCCAGGCGCGTCGCGGCCCCTGTAGTCCTTCCCCGAGGCCTCGCGAAAGCGGAGTCACTAAGGTTCAAACCGTGCCGCTGCCTTCGGCGCGCAGCGTCTCCTTGGGTGGATGACTTCCCCGCGATGAGCCTCAGTTTCCCAGGCCGGGAAATGAGAGCATTCCAATTAGAGGATTCTGTTAAATGCGCCTCACCCCATTTCTCTCCCTCATTAACCTTCTCTCCTGCCTTCTCAGGCTGGACTCAAGCGATTCTTCCCAGCATATGGGGCATGACCCCCATTCCAGAAAGGTCTTGGAGTAGGGGAAGGACAAGAAGCCCCAAATGCAGTTACAGGTTGGGGTGTGTTGTTTATCTGTTGGGGTTTTTCTATGACTCTAGTATGGAAATAACTGGAGGAAGGAATCTACATAGCCGCACCTCTCAACTTACTTTGTACTCCCAGTAGCCACTCTTACCCCAGATTCTGCCAAGTTCGGAGCTAGTTATTCATAGCGGTGATCCCAAAGCCCCCAACCACGTGAAGACTTTTCTTTGGTATAGGAGGAAAGCTCATTCCCTGACTGGTCCAGAGTCTAGTTCACCTCGTCTGCGGTAGTCGCCCCCCCACTCCCTGTCACGTGTCCACATCCTGAACCCTGTACTCCATCTGCCTTAGTCTGTTTCCCCACTGGCCAGGTTCAGGCAGTTTCCTCGGCATGGGATGCCTTTCTCACGTCTCTAAGTAGTGCCTCCCATCTTTCAAGGCCCCACTGTGAAGTCTCAGTCTACTCTAAACAGATTGGGTAGGGCTGTTTCCTCATGGGTATTCATTCCTACCTTAGATGTCTGTAACTGTCATGAACATTAAATTAGTAAGAAGAGCTAACCTCCAGTGCCACCCAAGTGGTAGACTATGTATTGAAGAAGAGCCCTACTGAACTGGGGAGGACACTAGGAAGGGAACTCTCGCTTTGACTGGAAGGTCCAGAAGTGTGCAGAGCTTGCACAGGGCCTTGGGAAATGAGGATTTTTGCCCAGCAAGTTCTAGGAGACATCATTCTAGGTGGAGGCAGATGCAGGCAAGCAGCTGAAACCAGAAAAGGGTAGCCTGGTGACGTGCATCTCCACTCAGACCAGCCTGGCATTGGGTTACTAGTCAGACCCTGTCCAGTGTTGAGTTCTGATCCTTCGCTAGACCCTGCCAGAGAAACGAGAGCCATGAAACACAAGAGGCCCACATCTCCTTGCCTCTGGCTCTCTAGGATAGCCAACCAGGGCTGGATGGGGGCACCTGAGTTCCAGTCTCCTTCCAAGTAACCCTGGGTATCCTTGAACTTCACAGCTGCACCATCCTCCCTTTCCCAAGCAAGATGCCCTACTCTCTGCTCTTCAGATGCCCTTGATTCCCAGAGTTTAGCCCCCTTATGTGTACGGCACCCCCCATCCCCCGTCCCCCGCACACACATAGGGCCCACTGCCCTCCCCAGAACCCACTGCACGCCTCCGGCCACTCCAGCTCTTTGCTGTCTTTCAGCCTGTGTTTTCAATTAAGAGCAAGCTCTGTGACTCCGCCTGCTTTGCCTCTCACCTTGAGGCATTTGCCTCTCACTCTTGCTCCATCTCAAGAACTAGACTCTGACGTATCCTGGAGACCGAGGTCTAGCTGGAGCTTCCTCCCCTGCCTTGGGTCCTTGACTCCAGCCACAGTCTTTGTCTTTTGTCCCTCTTTTCTTCTTTCTCTCCTTCTGTCAATCCCCACTTTCTTCTCCCTCTTCACTTCATCTTTCTTTCAAGAAACAGCATAGACCTCAATATGAAAATCGTGGACAAAGAGTCGAATTGGCTCTGTCCTAGCCGGGCCCCCATAGGAAACCCTAAGAAGCCATTCAGTGGACCTGGATGAATGTTCCAACAGAAACATTATGTCCAGCTCTAGTAGGGAACTTTCTAAAACACAGGTATAGCCACCTCTTTCCAGGTAATTCTGGTGACTTGGGATGGTGAACCGAGTTGGAGCAGGGCGCAGCCTAGCCTGGTCTGGGTTCAGCTGGTCCCCAACCTCATTTCTTACTTCAGCCTCAGGCGGTCTACAGGGCTGCAAGTCAAGCTGCTGGTATCGTGTGAGCTCCTCACCAACAGTCTGTGTAGGCCTCATATCTTCAGGGAGGGCTCCTTGACCTCATCCTGGTCCATTCACCTGGGAGTACTCAACAGGCTTATGACGCATGTACTTCTCCAGTCCTTTCTCTGGCCCCTGAATAGTTCCTACTGGGTAATGTTGCTGTCTACAATCCTCTCTTCCCATGAAGCCTGGTCTAGGCACAGAAGTGGCTTAGGGAGGAAGGAAGGAAGGAAGGAAGGAAGGAAGGAAGGAAGGAAGGAAGGAAGGAAGAAACAGATACAACATACAGTTCTAGGAGGGCAAAGAACTCCACATAGGGATTCTGAAGTCCTGGGTTCAAGTTGTATTTGGACGGCCAAGGCTATGGGAGTGAAGAAGTTGGTGTTCTCCTTTTATGGTGGGAATCCTTCCTAATCCAGCTATGCTTATGTCACAGGGTCGTTATGGAGGTCAACTAAGGTCATTCTGGAGCCTGGCCTCCAGCCACGTGGTGATTGGTAGCACTCTTCCCAGGCTGGATTGGCAGAGCCAGAGAGGAGCAACCTCTCCTTCGGATGGGACAGATAGCATCTTGGCTCCTGACCACTACTGTAGGCAGGCCAGGTAGATAGGAAGCAGATGCCAGACAGCTCTTCAGTAGAGAGGGAGGAGGAGGGTATTGGAAGTGCTGGAGAGAAAGGGGGATAGGTGGCACATACATTTGGAGGCAAAATTAAGTCTTGATGGAGTTGACTTCCAGGCTTCTACTAGTAACTACAGATCCCAGCCTGGCCTGCTAGGTGCTTCCAGCATCCTAAGACTTCAGTTATCCCAGCCCAGGCCCCCAAGACACAGTTTTCAGATCTGTAAAATAGGGAGATGATGGTTGTCCCAGGGTAGTGCTAAAGATGAGATGAAATTGGCCATTTAGAGCCCCTCATGCAAGGTACCCAGTAACTGTGTGCGGGCTGTGAGTAGTTCTCAGCCTGGGCTATATTTTAGAATCACTGAGTGGCTAGGGATGAATGGGAGCCCTGGGAGGATTGGACCCAGGCTTTCTGTATACTGGCTCTCTACCATTGAGCTATACCCCACCCCTAGTCTTCTGGGATTGGACCTAGGCTTTCTGTATACTGGCTCTCTACCATTGAGCTATATCCCACCCCTAGTCTTCTGGGATTGGACCTAGGCTTTCTGTATACTGGCTCTCTACCATTGAGCTGTACCCCACCCCTAGTCTTCTGGGATTGGACCTAGGCTTTCTGTATACTGGCCCTCTACCACTGATCTATATCCCCACCCCTAGTCTTCTTTTCACTTTTAGCACGTTTAGACACTAAGTTGCCCGAGGCTGGTCTTAAACTTACTCTGTAGTCCAGGCAGGTCTTGAGCTTGTGATCCTCCTTTCTTAGCCTTCTAAGTAGTTGGTATTACAGGCCTGTTTGGAAGGATGGAGTGGCTCGGAAGATCACTGATGCCTGGGAGGACCCAGGGACTTCCCGTTTCTTTGGTCTGAGCGGTGGCGAGGTCCAGGTATTTTAAACTGCTCCCAGGTGGCACTATTCTGGTAAAGAATTCTCTTGCTAGTAGGATCATTCCCACTGGGAGGGCTTTTAAAGTACACATTACCACCCACGGGTTTTGACTCAGGAGTTTGGCCCAAGCATCTAGAGTTCTACCATATTCCCAGGAGGCTACTGCCAGGGCACCGTTCCTTAAAGATCAGTGCCAGGAAGGTGAATCTAATTGTGCTAAGGCGGCCAGGATGCATGGAAACTTTCACACCTTCTGCCAGCAGTGCTCTTGAAGGGTCTGTATATTTTCTTTCTGACCTGAGGTATATGTAGGAGGAGCAGAGACGGGGGCCAGGACTCCCTCTCCCCTCTTCTAGTTCTGCGACAAGCCTTTCCAGGTTAGTAGCAGAGCCCTGGTCCTTCAGAAGGCGGAGCTCGTCCTCTAGATAGGGCATCTGTTCCTGAAGACTCAGCTTGGTTGTCTGTGCTGCCTGCTCCTGGTCTCTGAGAACAGCCAAGGGACCAGCCCATGAGCCCTCAGCCTGCCTGAATCTTGGTTCTGCTCGACAGGGAGTTTTCTGTCTGCATGGGGCTGCTGTTTCCCAGCCTGAGCCTTTCCTGACCCCTACAGAGGCACCGTTGCCAAAAAGCAAGGTTGAGCCCTCCAGGGGAAACCCCCGAGTTTCCAAGATGGGCACGGAACGTGGAATCCTCCGTCTGTCTCCTAGTAGACAGCAGGTGTCACAGAAAGAGATTCGCTGGGCTTCATGGGAACCTGGAAATTCCACCCACCTTCCTCCTTGACTGTACATAGGCAGCAAGGAAAACCCCAGCTGTCGTTCACATAGTGTGGACATCCTCTTTGGCCCACCACAGTGTGCAATCCAAGCGGCCTGGTGTCTAGCTGCTCCAGGTCTTCCAGAGCCAGCCTGGCTGTCGGTACGCCTGGGCTGTGTCCATTCGCCCCCTCATCAGTGCAGCTCTGCTTAGCATAAGGCCCCAGGAGGCCCTGTGGGCTCTGGGCTCTGCTGAGTCTGAGGCCTTCCTTTATGCTACAGCAGTGGGCAGAGGCAGAGAAGGCAGCCAGCAGGAGGTAAATGAAAAAGCTCAGCATTGGTGGGCATTTTAAGTCCTTTTGGGTCACTTTCACTTCCTGTCACCTAGGCCTGGCGTTGTAACCATCATGTGAGACTCTCATTCAGACAGACAGGTCCCTAAAGAGTCCAGATGCTACCTTCCCATCCCCTGCTTCTGGGGTCTACTCCTCACACTTCAGGGCCTCCATTTCTCTAAAGCCTCCTCAGTGTGATGTCCCTTGTTCCTTCAGCCTGAGGACACCATATATCTGGAACTGTCAGCCTCAAACCCAGGACTGCTGCCCATGGCGACCCAGGCTGTCTGCTTTATACTGCCTGCCCACGTGAGGCCCTGTTTGCAGTGCCTATGGTGGTATGCAAGGCATCCGTCGATCCACTATTGAGTGGTCTCTAGAATTGTCTCTGGCTACCTCCCTGCTCTCCCACAGTGTAACCCCTGACCTTCAGATCTACTGTGGCCACCTGTGACTCCATGTTCCTCTTTGCTGAACACCCACAAATGTGCCACCCAGCCCTACCCCCCCCCCCCATGTATTTCTATCCTGGACCCAGTTGGGATGGGCAGAGGGTGGATCAAAAGCTTCCGGAGACATCGTCTGGACCTACTAGAATTAGCTGTCGCCTCTGGGGAGGGACAAGAATGGAGTAGTAGGCACTCTTCTTCCTTGGTCCAGGGCTGTGGGATGGGACCCTGTAGCTGTAAGGTTCTAAGGGTCCACCATGTGTGTTCTCCCTCCACAGGACTGCACTTTCTTCAATAAAAAGGACATCCTCAAGTAAGTGTGGCTTCTTGTCTACATCCCTGGGACTAGGGCTGTGGTTGGGGTGGGGCTGGGGACTCCCGGGGGGGGGGGCTGAGCAGAGCAGGAGCTGAGGAAGAGTGTGGGACCTGAGTTCAGGTAGGCCTCAGGCACACATCAAGGCTACTGTTTAGACTGAGGAGGTCTCACTGCTCCCTTTGCACGCATCCTTCTCCTGGGAATGGGGCATCAGCTACACTCTGAACTCCGAGATAAAGTATTTGAGGCACAGTCTCATTCAGTCCTCTCTAGGACCTTGTAACAGAATCCTGCTCACCCCCTTGCATATGGGACTTTGAAATTTGACCCAAGTCACAAAGCCAAGGTCTGGAGAAGCAAGCGGCCTTCTAACTCCAGGTCCCTGGCTAATTTCTTTTCCTTTTGGGGTCTGCTAACACAGGGGACCCCTTCGTCTTTTAAGATAGGTGCTCTGATACTCCTCTGTCCCAATGGCTGGCATTCCTGGGATGTCCAAAAGCCAAAGACATGCCTACCAGCCCTGAGCTGCTTACCAGGGGTCTCCAGGACAGCCCTTCTCCCTGTGGGTTAAGGAGGGGGGGTCCTGGACAGGAGAGACAGCAGCGTTGGCAGTCTCAGACCAGTGAGCAGGCATTACAGGATGCTAGGAAACCTGCAGCCCTCGCTGGCCCCTCTACCTAGGCTATCCGGTGTCACTAAAAGCCAGCAAAGTCTCAGGATCAGTTTCCCTGGAGATCGATGCTCAGGCTGGGGCTAGAGCCTGGTGTAGCTTCCCCAGAGAGCTGTGTTGTCATTTGACGTTACCCTGACTGACCACTCTGTGTGGACAGTGTTCCTCCTCCAGCCTGCCATTCTGTCATGTTACTTGAGTGGGCAGAGGATACCCTATTTTCACTTCCTGGGGGAGTACAGAGCCCCTCAGACTTGGTCGTAGGCCTGGCTGTCCTTCCGCATTTACAACATTGGGGTCCTATGGCCTCGGTGAGGTTTAGTTCCCCAGAACCTCACTTTCTGGGGTGCTGGTACCACTATCAAGGGGCAGTAATCCAAGGTGTGTCAGCTGACCCCTGGAACTAGCCTGTCGTGAGGCTTTCTGGGGCTGACTCTGACCTTCCAGAGTTGTTGGCACACGTCCTCTTTTCCGTCTTACTGTATTAACCCTCTGTTATGTGTACTCCAACCTCCTCAGCATCTCTCCCTGCTTCGTGGATGCCGAGTCTGAGCCGCTTGTATTCCGAGGCTCACACTATTTCTATTCTGGTCTAACTCCTTTCCACCCCAGCACTTACAATGTTCTTAAGTCAGCCCAAGCTCTGTAACGAGGCTCAGCAGCTGGCTCCCCCAGAGAATTCAGGTGTGGTGCCTGTTAGCCACCAGTGAGTGTGTAAGGGGTATGGTAAGGGAAGGAGGACTGGCCACAGGAGGACGGTCCAGGCTGGCAAAACACAGAGACAAAGGCACAGCCTGTGTCCCCTTCTACCCCCTACCATGCACTAATCCTGTTGGGTTCAGCAGGGTCTTTGGGAAGAATAGCTTAAGACCAGGCCAAGAGTTAGAGCTGGTCTGGCAGACCTTTGGGGGTGTCTCTGGCTCATTGTCAAATGAAGGGTTCTTGGGCAAAGGTTCCTGGCTCCCCACAACCTTAGCTTCTTAATCTCCACACAAGAGAAAAGAGCAAACATCAGGTCCCCTCATGGGCAAAGAAACCTGCCAGGAAGCTGGACACCCTGCCTGAGCCGTTGTCTGTCTTGTTTTGAGGTGTCACCTCCAACAGAGGCTCATGTCACTGATCCCCATAGCCTTACCAGGTTAGTCTCCCTCCATGGCTCACATCTCAGTGAGGCACGGATGGGGCAAGGATCAACGACCACCCAGCTGTGTACAGCAGGCCAGTGGCAGAGCCTGGCTGGCCAGATCCTGCCTCCGCTGGCCTGCCCTCCCCTCCCAGGGCTTGGATGCAGCCTCCTCCTTTTCCACCCCCAGCTGCCTGTTTCCTCGGTAAGCTGCACCCTGAGTACTGACCAGATGGCAGGGAGGAAACCTGAGCAGGAGGTTCCTCTGTCAGTGGTATGGATCACAGATAACCATGATCGGGCTCAACTGCTCCCTCTACAATAATCCCAGTGGATCCTGTTACTCTCTACACAACTCTTCCCTGCCAGCTCTGAGGTGATGGGCAGCCTACCCCACCCATCCTCCCACCCCCTTCGGCGTCCATGCTTCCTGTGGACCAGAGCTTAGATCTTCCATGTCCTCAGTCACACTTCATTCCTGAACAAGTGGACAGGAGTCCTTGTCCCCTCAGTCAAAGACAAGCTTGTCCAGTTGATACCCCAAGGCACCTGCCAAGTGATTACTTTATTGTATTCCTTATTTCCTCAACCTTTTAAACATTTCTGTAATCTATTTTAATTACTTTTTATTTTTTTTTCCTATTATACATGAGGAGTCTGAAACTTAACTGCCTGCAGGGTCCAACCTGCACCGTGAGCAAAGGAAGAGGGCCAGTCTCTGGATCATTTCTGAGGAAATAGCTGCTCCAAGCCCCAGCAGGACCAGCAAACAGATGTACAGTGTACAAATCTTTCAATTTGTAAATGTTGGCAAATAAATTTGAAAATTTAATTTAATCCTTTCTTTTCTAAAAATTTAATGTATTTAAAACCCCATGTGGAAGCCAGGCATTCATGTGGGCTATCAATTTCTGATTTTCAGAAGAATTGGTCTTTCTCCCAATGATTTCAAATGTTGTGTATCGTAGATTATGTCTCATTAATATTTGGGTCCCACTCTTTCTCTGAGTCTGGCACCAATGTCTGTTCTTTATGTCCTTTTGGGGGGGGGCAGGGCAGGAGGTAGGACATTAAGACAGATCTTGCTATGTAGGGCTGGCTGGTTTCAAACTTTCGCTGTTTCGTTCTGGTGTTTCCTTTTGGGTCCTGGGATGAAGGGTTGGCTTGTGCCTCTCCCTCTTCCTCTCCTCGCCTCACCTCGCCTCGCCTCCCCTCCCCTCACCTCTCCTCTCCTCTCCTCTCCTCTCCTCTCCTCTCCTCTCCTCTCCTCTCCTCTCCTCTCCTCTCCTCTCCTCTCCTCTCCTCCTCCTTCTCTTCCCTTTCTCTCTGTCTTTTTATTATTGTTATTATTTTGGTTTTGGGTCTTTGGTTGGAGTTTGTCTTTGTTGTTGTTGGTTGGTTAGTTGGATCTTGGTTTTTGAAACAGGGTCACCCTGTATAGCTCAGGCTGGCCTCGAACTCAGAATCCTCCTCCTGCTTCAGCCTCCTTAGTGGTGGGAGGCTCTATTAACTTCCTGAAGTCACCCCGGTGGCTTTTACATTTGGTTCCATGCAGCTAGAGTGGCACAGTTGTCATTTCTGGTCCTGGCTATTATGATAGCACATATACAAATCTTTTTTAATTCAGTGGGGGAAGAGATGTAGATCTTTCTCTTTCTTCCTCTCTCCTTCCCTCTTTCCCTTTGTTTGTTTGTTTGTTTCTTTCTTTCTTTCGGTGATTTTCCTCCCACAGTGATTTGGGAGTTCCTTAAAAATTTCCATCATCATTTTGGTTGTTTTGCTTTTTTTAAAAAAAATATTTATTTATTTATTTATTTATTTATTTATTTATTTATTTATTTATTATGTATACAATATTCTGTCTGTGTGTGTGTATGCCTGCAGGCCAGAAGAGGGCACCAGACCTCATTACAGATGGTTGTGAGCCACCATGTGGTTGCCGGGCATTGAACTCAGGACCTTTGGAAGAGCAGGCAATGCTCTTAACCACTGAGCCATCTCTCCAGCCCCGGTTGTTTTACTTTTTAAGTTTTTAAAAGATTTATTTTATGTGAATTAAGTGCTTTGTCTACATGTATGTATATGTAGCACATGGCTGCCTGGTGCCTGCAGGCATCGAAAGAGGGTGTTGGATCTCTGGAGCTGGAATTAGAGGTAGTTGTAAGCCACAATGTGGGTGCTGAGAACTGAACCCCAGGTCCTCTGCAAAAGCAACAAGTGCTCTTAACTGCCAAACCATCTCTCCAGCCCCGATTTATTTTATTTTTTAACTATGTATATTTGTGTGTGTCTGTGTAAGTACATGCCATGTGTGTATGCCCGAGGAGGCCAGAGGTGTCAGATCCCCTGTAGCTGACGTCACAGGCGGGCACGACCTGCCTCATGTGCGCACTGCCACACTAACTCAGATCCCATGGAAGCAATACATCCTCTGGCCTCAGGGTCATCTCTCCAGCCCCTAGTTGTTGTTTTTTACAACAGATCTGTATACCAGGGCAGAACCTGGCTTTTCTTCTCGGGAAATGCTCCCCACCCTTTGGGAGTACCCATAGCCTGATCCCACACTCATCTCTTCTGAGGAGTGTCTGGCAGACAGACAAGAGTGTAGAAATAGCTACAGTTTGACTCTAGGTGGTTTGTGTACATAAGTATACTTGGGTGTGCATGGGTGCACATGTTTTTTGTTTATTTGCTTCTTTGTTTTGAGACAGGGTTTCTCTGTGTAGCCCTGACTCTCCTGGAACTCACCTGTAGAACAGGCTGGCCTCAAATTCAGAGATTCACCTGCCTCTGGCTCCTGAGTGCTAGGATTAAAGGTGGGTGCCACCACTGCCCAGCTGCATGGGTGCACATGTATGTGTGAGTGCATCTGTGTGTGCATGCATGTGGAGCCCAGAAAACAAACTCAGGTGTTATTCTTCAAACACATCCACCTTTGTTTTGAGACAGAGTTTCTCATTGGCCTGGAGCTTACCAAGTGGACTGGGCTTGCTGGCCAGTCCTCGGCGATCTGCTTGTCTTCTACTCTCTAACATTGGGATTACAGGTGTATATTCCAGGGATGGAGAGCTGCCTCAGAGGTTAAGAGCACTTACTGTTTTGAAAGAAGACCCAAGTGCAGTTTCCAGTGCCCCCATAGTGGCTCGCAGCTGTCCCTAAACATGTATGTGATATACATACATAAATGCAGGCAAAACACTCACACACAAAGATAGAATAAATGAATATTTAAAAACTTAAATTAGCAAAATGTTAAGGTTTTAAAAAACAAAATCCAATATTTTGTCACCATGCCTGACCTTTTCTTTTTTTTAAGATTTATTTATTTATTATGTATACAGTGTTCTGCCTGCATGTATGCTTGCAGGCCAGAAGAGGGCACCAGATCTCACTATAGATGATTATGAGCCACCGTAAGGTTGCTGTGGCCTGTGTATTAAGGATAGTCTCTTTGGCCTTCCAGATAGTTTTATAAATATTGACCTTGAAGTTCTAGTTTGTGGCTTCAGACAAATCTCTCAGTGCTCACTTTGCTTAGCTACAAACTGAGGTCATATGTCGTCTGCACAGTGATGAGCAGGAGATTAAAGTGACTTGTGTCACGCACAGTGCCTGGAATATAAAAAACTCCGTTTAGAAAAGAACATTTATTTATACACTCACGTGTGTGTGTATGTGTGTGTGTGTGTGTGTGTGTGTGTGTGTGTGTGTGTGAGAGAGAGAGAGAGAGAGAGAGAGAGAGAGAGAGAGAGAGAGAGAGATTGTGCATGTAGAGGTCGTAGAACATCTTGTGGGGTTGGTTCTCCCCTTCCACCCTGTGCGTCAGGGATCAAACTCAGTCTGTATGTTGACAGAAAGCACCTTTACCTGATGAGGTATCTTGCAAGCACAGCATAGAAGACTTAAGAGAGACCAAGTCAGGTCAGGTAGAGGAGTGGGAGGGAGGGGAGAGGCAGAGAGAGACAAGAAAGAGGGAGGTGGGAGACAGTTGCCCAGATGGGGAGATAGTGGTGGTTCACGGATGCGTGTGTTGGAAACAAAACAAGTAGGACTTGGGCACAGCTGGGTCAGCAGCACAGGGATTTGGGCATGACCTGCTTGCTCTCCAAGCTATGCCCACTGTGGGCAGAGCAGACAACTTCCTGTTGGCCCCTCACTTTGTCCTGGATGAGGTCAGTTATTTCAAGCCTAGACCGGATGGCACTGGGTCACTGGGGCTCAGGACTGGCAGCCTCTGGTGCTTTCCCTCTGTTTCTCTCAAAGGCTCCACGCACGGTTCTATGAGCTGGCCCCCAACCTTGTCCCGATGGACTACAGGAAGAGTCCCATCGTCCACGTGCCCATGAGCCTCATCATCCAGATGCCGGAGCTCCGGGTATGTGAGATGCCCCTGCTGGGGGGTTAGAGCGTGGGAAATCCACGCCCAGGCAGGGAGTAGAGGCTTGGATCCAGACTGAAGCCTGGCTCTACCCACTGTGAATGTGTTGCCCCAAGTGGATTGCTGGAGCTCTCTGTGCCTCAGTTTCCCAATATGCACTTTGCATAAATTATGCGAAATTTGCATAAATTTGCACTTTGCATGAATTATGGAAGCAGGTGGGGGCTTGGTAAGTGTACTGTGGATTTGTGGCTGCCCATTGCCTAGCCATTGGCCTGCAGCCATCTTCATGTCCGTGGCCTGGGCTGTACGTGGCAGCTCTTGGTCTGCTCTTTGAAGTCATTTTTCTCTCTTCTTGTTTGGTCATGGATTCTTGGTCATCTCTAGTGGCACAATTCAGACTCAAGCTTCCTGGGAGTCTTTTTAGAGTGCTCATTTGGATTTGGGCCATGTGGGGTAGGCTCGGCCAGCTCCCAGGGATGCTATCACGCAGGTCCTCAAGCCACCTACACATTGAAGGTTTCTGGTTTTCTTCACATGGGATATAGAAGGGACACTCCCACAGCACTGGGCCTAATTCTACAGGGCTGTGGGACTTGGCCGGCCTGGGATTGATGACTTAAGGCAGCGTAAGAAAACTATATGGTGTCCCTTGGGCCTGCATCCCAACCCTGTCCTGAGAGATGACGAGCGCAGGCTTGGCCCTGGAAAGCCCTTCCTGTCCCTGAGGGAGTGGGAGACCAGGCTGAGTGTCATGGAGAATGTGAGGCGCTGTAGGAACTGTATTTCCAGGCCTCTGGGGCTGATCTTGGCTGAGCAGCTGTGGTGGAAGAAATGTGGGCCCTGGCTGATTGGGTGTCACTGGAAGGAGTAGAGGCCGTGCTGGGAATGAGAACAAATGAGCTGTGTGGCTGGCGGCATCAGCGCCACCTCTTCCTGCCTGTGCTGTTCCAGTTATCTGACATGTTCGGGCCTTCCTTCCATCTCTCACCCGTCTGACCTGAATTAGCCCGATCCGAGGACTTCCTGGAGTGGTCGTCTTCTTTTGCTGGGGACACAACCCAGTTCATGGAGGAAGGAGCCTGTGTATGTTTCTCAGTTGGCATGTAGGCGCTGCTCAGCTTGCTCTGTGTGTGTGGACCCCGTGTAGCACGAGAGCATGCTTGCTGAGTCAGGTCCTGGATCAATTACACACTCTAACTTGGCAACTCCTCCAACAACCTGTTAAGTAGCTGAGACTATTGCCTTGCTCTAGCGGTTACACACGCATATTCTCACAGGCTGCTTTCAGACTGGTCCTCAGCCCCTGCCTCACCACCTCAGTGATGGCTCTGCTTGTCTTCAGGAGAATCCCTTCAAGGAGAGGATCGTGGAGGCTTTCTCTGAGGATGGCGAAGGGAATCTCACCTTCAACGACTTTGTGGACATGTTCTCTGTGCTCTGTGAGTCGGCACCCCGAGAGCTCAAGGCAAATTATGCCTTCAAGATCTATGGTAAGGAGGGGCTGGCAGCAGGGCGGAGCTGAAGTGCTGAAGGGACCATCATACAAGCCATTGGACCATCCAGTTATTGCTGGGTGCGCTGTGACTGCCCTCTGGAGAACATCTGCCTCAAGGGCACAGATCATGCCCAAGGCACGTCTTCAGAAAGAGGGAGAGACTCTTCTACCCCGGGTCGGCATAAGGGTGGGGAACAGGGAGGACCAGGGGAGATTGGTCCCCTGGAGACAAGAGGACAGACACCTCAACAGAGTGCACAGAAAGGCTTGACAAGATGATGAAGGTTTGGGATGTGGTGGGAGGAATCAGTGAGAGGATAGAGAAGTCAGCTAAACTGTAGGAGTCTGGGCCTAGTGCTCAGGACTAGCACATTGCAGGGTTCAGGCAGGGAAGGGCAGTTGTGTTCTATAAAGATCACTGGGAACTAAAACTGTCAGGCTGAATCTGGGGGCCAGACAGAAGGTCTTCTGGGATGAGCCAGTTGGGGAGGGAAATCTACAAGAGTCCCCCTCCCGGGCCAGAGGTAGGGTCTCCCCATTTCCTCACCCTGTGGACCGCTGGCCACTAGGGGGCACTAGACACACAGACTTCTTCCATAGCTGATTGGAGGCTACCAATCAAATCCTGAGTCAGATCGCTGAGGCCCAAGGAGGGGTTTGAACTTTTACTGGACCAGATGAAAAGACGACAAACCTTCCCGCACCTTTGAGAAGCTGGTGGATCTCAAAGCAGTGGTCCTGTCAAGGGTTGCCTATTATTTTTGTGATTATTTCAAAGGACTTTGGTTGAGACACATGGTGCAACACATTGCGTTTGCATGTAAGAAAGCCGACCCCTGCCAGACGGTGGTGGCGCACGCCTTTAATCCCAGCACTCGGAAGGCAGAGGCAGGCGGATTTCTGTGAGTTCAAGACCAGCCTGGTCTACAAGACCTAGTTCCAGGACAGGCTCCACAGAGAAAACCAAAAAAAAAAAAAAAAACGCCAACCCCACCTGTCTACCCTCCATATATGTAGCTCTCAAATCTCACCCATTGTCCCTCAGTCTTGGACCCCACAGTGCTGCCCCTGGTAAAGGTTGTTGTCTTCCTACAAGAAGAAAGTGCAGAGCTCGTGGAGGTCTCAGGGTCTTACTGTTCAGTTAGCCTAGGATTCTCTCTGGCCCACTATCCAGATAATGGGCTTTTCCATGGAACCTTCTGCAGGCCCTTCAGGAACAGAGATAAATACCACTTCATGCTTACTGTGGAGGCCTCCACAGGCAGGGGCAGAGTTGGGCAGCTCAGGTTACACTGAAGGGCTTCTGTTCTAAGTCTGACTCTGGTCAGAGTTGTGAGCCCAGGGAGGTCCTTGTCCTCTCCAACTCTGTTTCTTCGTCTGCAGAGTTCAGGCATGGTTTAAGTAAATGAGGAAGAGTGGCTGTCGTCTTCATCACTGCCATGTACACCAGTCTAGTGGGCAGCAGGCTACAGTGGGAGGGACCCTCTGTCCAGACAGTGATGCTTGAAGAAACTTGAAGGCCAAGTGGGTATTTGTTGGGAAGGCATTAGAGGCCTGAGAAGCCAAGTGCACAGAGCTGGAATCTATGCTGAGAGGGCGGGAGGAGTAGTAATCACAATGAGCTTGCCCATGGCTCGGGCCCACGGGACCCCTGTGCTGTGCTCTGGGGACACTGGTAGTACCCTTTGCCCAGGAGACCCAGCTCTGCCCTTTACTCTACGCAGAGGGCTTCCCTGCCGTGGCCTCTCTCTAGGGCTGTGGTTCTCAACCTCCCTAATGCCGTGACCCTTTTATACAGTTCCTCATGTTGTGGTGACCCCCAACCATAAAATTATATCATTGCTACTTCATAACTGTAATTTTGCTACCATTATGAGTTGTAATGTAAATATCTGATATGCAGGATATCTGATGTATGACCCCCAAAGGGGTCGTGGCCCACAGGTTGAGAACTGCTACTTTAGGGAGACCCTGCATCTCATGACTGGACTTCTGTTTTTGTTTTTAATTGGCAGATTAAGTTATACATACTTACTACATACAACATGACAAATGTGTTAATTAGCCACGTGTATCTGGAAGCCTACCAGAGGTGATGAGGTACCATTTAGAAAGTGGGTCTTAGAGTCAAATAGACCTAGTCAGAATCCTTGCTCCATCCTGACCGGAGCTCCGACATGGACTCAGGCACTTGGCCTCTCTGGATTCTGGCTTTCTTGGCTCTAGGAGTCCACTGTGGGGTGAGCCAGGAAGGATTTTTGGCTTCAGTGGGAAGTTCTCAGGGTGCTTTGGGTTTGGAACTGTTTGGGATGTGGCTGTGTGCACCCTCATGGTGGGGGTTTTGGGTTCCCCAAATGTTAACTTGTTCACTGTGGATGTTTAACGTATGTCTTATGTGCAAGCCTGTTGGTTTCAAGGCCCCACCACTGTCTGAGTTCATAGAGCTACCTCGGGCACTTGAGAAGCTGGTGGAGAAACCAGTGCGGTCAGCTGGGAGGAAGGGGAAATGATGGACAGGACACCCCTTTCCTCGAAGTTCCTGGAAGGGACTCAGCCCGGGCAGGCAGGGGTGACCTGCTCCCATAGGCATGGCATCAAGTGTCCCCATCTCTGTTCACTCTCCCTAACCGCACAGACTTCAACACGGATAATTTCATCTGTAAAGAAGACCTAGAGCGGACGCTGGCCCGGCTCACTAAGTCAGAGCTGGATGAGGATGAGGTAGTGCTTGTATGTGACAAAGTCATCGAGGAAGCTGACCTGGATGGTGACGGCAAGCTGGGCTTTGCTGACTTTGAGGACATGATCGCCAAGGCCCCGGATTTTCTCAGGTGCTGTTATCTTAGGGCCTGGGCTTGGGTTGGATAGGCCAGAACATTAGGGCATTAGGGTCAGAGCTGGCTGCCTGGTCTCATGGGACCTCCATGGGGAATGATGTATTCAGGCCTGAAGTAGCCGTTTGAAGCCCTGCTCCCCAGATGCATAACTGCCTTTTACATGACTATTCATATCATGAGAGGGATCTAGACCTTCCGTGGTGCCTGGGAAGGATCTAGACTCTGGAGGCTGGAAACTGGACACCTGCCCCTTCTGAGCCTCCTGTAATGACTTCTATGTAGCATCCCTTAAGAAGATGGCCAGGGTTAGTGAGCCTTTCCCTGCGGAGCCCTCTGTCTGGCCCACAGCCTCTCACCCTCTCCCTTCCTTCTGCAGCACTTTCCACATCCGCATCTGAGGACACTACCAAGGCCGCAGGGGCTGAGACGTCTGCCCTCTGACCTGCTGTCTCCGCAGGTATGGTTTTCAATGCTTCACCAAAGGAGCTGTAGCCTCTGGAGTTCTCACCCATGGACATTTCCTGTGGCCCTCTCAAGCAAAAACAAAAACCAAAAACCAACCAACCAAACAAACAAAAAAAAAAACAAATAAAAAACTTAACAGAAATGAGGTTGTGAAGAGCAGGACCCTTCGCAGGGCCCCAGTGGTTCACCCACAAGATCAACGGTCCCCCTAGGGGCCCCCTCAGCCGCCCCCTCGCCCAGTCCTTTTCTCACCTAGCAGGAGTGGGGCTGGATTGTCCACATGCTGGACAGACACCCAGTCACCCAGGGCTAAGTGCAAAAAACAAAAGAAACAAAACAAACAGAGCCTGGGGGTTTAACAAGCTATGCAATCTTTTACTAAAGCCAAGGCTGGGCTGTCCCCCCCCCCCCCTCTCCCTGTCCCTGTCCTTTCTCAGTGTGAAGCTGTATAAGCAGTGGGTCCAAAGGGCTCTGCCCCTGTGTCCTGAACACTACCCTGCCCACCCTTCCCAACGACATGGTGTCACTGGGGTGTGCTGACCTCAGGTTTGTGAATGCCTAGGAATAAAACACTTTTGTGTCCTGCACTTTCTGCGTCTGTCAGCATTAGGAATGCTCGGTGCTCAATTCCAGGCAGTCCACGGCGTCAGCCTGGGTGAAGCATCGCCCTCCTTTGGTTTCAGGATGTTGGGTGAGGACTGTTTCCATTTTCCTAGCAGTAGTTACATCTGCTCCCCACTGGTCCAGGCTAGCCCACTGCTCTTAAACCTTCCACTCCCCCTCCCCCACAACAGATAGGCATTGCTAGAGCCCAGAGAAAAAGAGTATTAGCCAAGTGTCTGCCAGGAAATGGCTTTCCCCACAAATGTACACTGAGCAAGCCCTGCGGGAGAGGGGGCTGTGGCCTTGGTTCCTGCCTCCTGCGAGTGGAGGCAGGGTAGAGAGAAAAAAAAAAAAACAGGCCAGTTTCTCACCCTGTGGAAGTGGGGACACATGGACAAGGGGAAGTGGAACTAAACAGGGAAAGATCCCTGGAAGAGCCTGGTTGGCCGAGGGAACAGTGGAGCAAGAGGCCTGAGTGCCTGTGCCAAGCTGGGACTGGGCAAAGCCCCAGGTGCTCTCTGAAGATAAAACCACCAGGCGAATGGTGGGTTTCATGGAGGAATCTGGGTTGATCCAAAGGGCAGGCCTGGCTGGAGGCAGAAGGCAGGCAGGGGTGACCTGCTCCCATAGGCATGGTGTCAAGTGTCCCCTGGTGGCTCCAGATGTTGCCCAGCAGTGCATCCCAGGCTTAAGCCTGTCTTACTGAGGGGTCTCTGTCCAGATTCTCACTGGCCATGTCTTCAGGTAAGTTGCTGGGTCTCAGTTTCCTCATCTGCAGCACAAACTAGGAGCGTGCAGGGCGCAGCTGGGATAAAGATGGAAAAGTGGGGCAGGAAGATTGGGGGAGCAGTTCCCAGTCCACTGCCAGGTCAGCGTCATGACTTTTGAGGCCGGATGCAGCTTCTTGCTCTAATCCTCCTGGGGCAGGTGCAGAGAATGTGGCTCCTGGCCTTCTCCCATCACCCGGCAAGACCACGGGGAAAGGAACTGGTTTTGTCCTCAGAAGTAATAGTGTGATGTCATTTAGCCAGTTGGGAGAATGTCTGTCTCGGCAAGGGGCCCACCACATGCTTGTGAAGTCTCTGAGGTATGAGGCCGGCTCTGCCGTTCATCAGCCCAGGCCTCTGCATGTTCACCCAGTCCTTCCTCTAGTCAGTCCCCACTCTTGTGTCCTTCGTGGTGTGGATGGACAGCATTGAGGACATATCCAGGAGTTACAGGCTCTGGCAAGGTCTCTCCCATGCCTTCCCAGGTGGGTACCTAGGCTGCATCCCAGAGCCTGCTTCCACAGTGGCTAGTTGTGGCACACCTTCAGGTGAGCTGAGGGTATCCAGGTGTAGCCAGGAAACCCCCTGGATGCCAGGCCTTTCTCAGAATTTGTGCTTCTTGTCCGTGAAGAAGAGCCTCCGGAACTTGTCAGGCTGGAAAGAAGGGAGAGACGTTGGAACCTGGGCTCCCCAGCAGAGATGGGAAGACCCAGGCTCAGAAGCTCTTAGCTGGGGTCTGGGGTGAGGGTCCAAGCTGGAAAAATGATGCCAGACTACAATGCTGGTATGGCTCCCACAAGCCTCTCGGGGACCTCCAACCCCATTCAGCCTTCAGATTTAAGACCGATTTGCCTTTGTTGGAAAGGGAGGAATGTAGAAAAGCGGTGGGGGTACTGCAGAGTATCGGCTTCCCTCCTGGTGTGTCCTGGCCTCCCTGCCCTCTCCTACCCAGCTGGGGCCTTGCTGGGACAGGATGGAGGAGGGGAGGGGTTGTAACAACTCCCAGGGTTAGAGGAGGACATGGGGACATCCAGGGGAAGTGTAAACCTGGCTTCTGAGGTCCTTAAAGGACTGTACATTGCCTGGGTCTGAGAGGATCAACACCTCAGAAAATGGTGGGGACAGAGCTAGAGCAGGAAGACAGCCCTGGCCTGAGGGAGGAGCTGGTTCCCCAGAAGCCTTTTGCTTTGAAGCTTGGGATGTCCCTGTTCAGGCCAGGAGAGGGAAGTTCCAGCTCCCCCAGACTTGAGGCTGTGTCCACAGGAGTGGAGCTTTCTACTTCTACTCTTCACGAGTAGAGGCAGCTGAGGGATTGGAAGGGGGTTGGTGGGCTCATCTGCCTCCCTGGGGCCGCAGGAGCAGCCACCTCCCTCTGGTGTTCTTACACCCCCGTCCATGTTCTCTTCCTGTCTATCATGAATCCTCAGAAATAATCACCCAATTCACCAAGAGCCACCTCTGACAGTGTCTTGTCAAGAGAGAATGTAGGACACTGCTCCTTGGGCAGCTGCCCTGGGCATAACCAGTTGGTCAGCCCATTTTACAGACAAGGAAGAGAAAGCCTGGGTAGGGTTGCCAAGTGAAAATACAGGCTGCCCAGTTAAATCTGAGTTCTAGATAAATAAGAAACCATTATGATTTTTTGAGACGTATCAAAACTACTGATTTATGTACAACTCAATTTTTAATAGATGCCTTGTATTTTTTTTTTTTCTTGGTGAATTTGGCAACCTTAGTCATCAGGGAAATTGTCACGGCAAAGCCACAGGCTAGAGAGCTGCTTATTCATGACTAGGGCCATGGGTCTTCTTTCTGCCTCCCGGTGGATCTGACAGCCCTGCAGTGGGCTCTGAGGAACACAGGGAGTGTTCTGCCATAGAGGAAGCTCTTAGGTGGGCTAGAAGCCCCCATTCACCCCACATCCTTATATCACCAGGTGGAAAAGTCCTGGGACTTTGTGAGCATCGGCAGTAACCCATTCATGCGTGAGGAGCACACTCAGGTTCTCTCTATATAGTCCTGGCTGTCCCCGAGTTCACTACGGAAGCCAGGCTGGCCTCAAACTCACAAAACCCCTCCTGCTTCTGCTACTCTAGTGCTGAGATGAAAGACGTGTGCCGCCATGTCTGGCTCATTGGGTATTTTGTAAGGACCTGGCCACCCAGGGAACTCACCTTGGTCACCCGTCCAGTGTCCTTGTTCTTGGAGGCTGGGATTTGCTCATAGTTGTTCCCTGGCTCTGAGACCCGAGAAGTCCCTGAGATCTCAAAGCCACAGTCCATGGGCCCTAATAGCTGGCTGTATGTGGAGCTGAATTCAGGGTATGGGAGCTTGGCAGTGCTATGCCAGAAGGTTGGAATCTGCTCATAAGTAGTGTTTCCTTGGCCTGGTCTGTCCTTACCCTCCTGTCGTGGGCCTGTAGTCCCAGCAAGCTGGTAGGTATCTGTAGAACTGGCCTCAGAGGAGGATTGAGCCTCGTGGCTCAGCTTTAGAAACCCCTGTCTCCAAGTAGCAGCATGTGATCCTGGGACCTCAGAATTGGGGGGCAGGGAAAATCCTAAGGAAGCATAAGACATGGTAGCACTCTGGTCTGTCTTCACCACACATGGGGCAGGCTCTGGGTTATTGGGATTGTTCTGGTCTTCATCTGAGAGTTTCCTTGAGGGCTTCTTGCCTGGGGAACAAGCCAGGCTGCCAGCTGGAGCTAGCCTGTGCCTGCTAGATACCTCTATGCCCAAGCCTTGCTGTGCCCGGTTTGTCTTCTTCAGGTCCGCGTATATGATGTCGCTGGGGCCTGCAGAAGGCCCATCCAGAAGAGAGGGACTCCTCTGGGGAACAGGGGGCCCTCTGGTGGGTGCCTGGGAGAGAGGGACAGAGAATGTCTTAAAAAGCACTCCATAGGTACTGTGACCTCACACCCCCTGAGCTGTCTTTATAAGTCTCCCCTCCCCTCTTTTGCTTCAGTTTGCCTATCATAGGCAAGGGTTGGCTCACAACCTTTATGTTTCCTGGTTCTATGATTCTAAGTACAGTCTTTGCCTTGGCATCCAAGGTAACTAGCTCAACAGCCAACCCAAACTCATCCTGCCTGATCCTCCTGCCTCTAGCATGGTCCATTTGTGCAGGGCCCCATGAGCCCACCCAATCACTGCTGTGTACCCTTTCAGAGCAGCTGTATCCCAAGCCCATCGCTTGTGGATCTGTTCAACAAATATTTACTGAGTACCAGCTATGTGACAGGCTCTTAAGTCCCGAGGCCAGCATGAGTTTACATTCTCATCTGGAAACAAGCACCATGGGGCTGTGCTAGGAATGTACAAGAATTTGATGTATTGTATGACATATGAATGTGACATAGGTAATGCCATGTCAGCTCATGATCAGTGCTGTGGAGAGCAAGGCAGGTAACAGAGTAGAGAAAATAACAGGTGGGAAAAGTGACATGTCCTATAGGTCAGGTGGGAAAGGTGTCATGTTCTTTAGGTCAGGTGGGAAAAGTGACATGTCCTACAGGTCAGGTGGGGAAGGTGACATGTCCTATAGGTCAGGTGGGGAAGGTGACATGTCCTATAGGTCAGGTGGGAAAGGTGTCATGTTCTTTAGGTCAGGTGGGAAAAGTGACATGTCCTACAGGTCAGGTGGGAAAGGTGT